TTGAGTAGTAGCCTTTGAAGTTTTCACTTTAATGCAAAGGATTGGCTTTGATTGGAAGAGGTTTATGCAGTATTACACGTATTTTGCTACAAAGTAGTTTCATTATTGCACGAAAAAATATGGGGTTTATCTGGAGTTGCTCTTATATATAAGGGGGTAGAACTTGTGTCTTTTTCTACTGATTGTTAAGAGTGCTGGTGAGCAGCAGGCTGACATTGCCTGCCTGCCAAGGGGTGGTTATATTTCTCAATAGCCCATGGTGGACAAGGTGCATGGTGGAGTTGCATACAGCCAAAAGGCTAAGGCAATAAACTAAGCTGAAAAATATTTGAAGCCTTCTCAGGAAAAAAAAGTAGTAGTGTTCTGAGTTAGTTACAGTAACTAAAATCTAGAAAGGTAATTTAATGAATTATAAAGGTAACCTCACTTGTATCATTTTGTAATAATGAAAGAACGGGTGATTTTTGTATTAAATTTCTAATATGGATTTTAAAATTAAAAATATTACGTAGTTAGAGTGCTTCAGCATAATTTCCTTTAGTGACAAGATGACCCACCTAGCTGATCAAGGGAAGCCTGTTGAGGTAAACTTTTTGGATTTCAGTAAATCTTTTGGTACTGTCTCTCACAGTATCCTTCTGGATAAAATGTCCAGCACACAGCTGGATAAATATGTCATGAGATGGCTGAGCACCTAGCACGTGGGTTGGGTGCAAAGAGTTATAGTGACTGAGGTAGTATCAGGCTGGAGACTGGTCACTAGTGGGGCTCCGCAGGGCTCCGTCTTTGGCTCAGTTGTCTTAAAACATATTCATAAATTACTGGGATGCAGGACTTGAAGGGATCCTAAGCAAGTTTGCAGATGATACAAAATTGGGAGAATCTTTTGATGCCCTCAAAGACAGGGAGGCCCTGCAGGGAGACCTTGACAAATTAGAGAGATGGGCAATCACCCACCATATGAAGTTTAACAAGGCCAAGTGCTGGATTCTTTATGTGGGGTGGGGCAACCCTGGATGTATATACAGATAGGGAATGAGATGCTGGAAAGCAGTGCTGTGGAAAGAGACCTGGGGATCCTGGTCGAGGGCAAGCTGAATATGAGTCAGCAGTGCCCTGGCAGCCAGGAGGGCCAACAGTGTCCAAGGGGCATCAGGCAAAGCATCATCAGCTGGTCGAGGGAGGGGATTGTCCCGCTTTGCTCTGCACTGGTGTGGCCTCACCTTAAATATTGTGTGCAGTTTTGGGTGGCACAATATAAGAAGGACGTAAAGCTATTAGAAAGTGTCCAAAGGAGGACTTCACCAAAAATGCTGAAGGGTCCGTAGGGGAAGCCGTATGGGATCACTTGGTCTGCTCAGCCTGTAGAAGAGGAGATTGATGGGAGGCCTCGTTGCAATCTACAGTTTCCTTGTGAGGGGAAGCAGAGGAGAAGGCACTGATCTCCTCTCTGTGGGAACCGGTGACAGGACCTGAAAGAACGACTTGAAGTTGTGTCGGGGAGATTTGAGTTTGATATTAGTAAAAGAAAGGTTTGTCACCCAGAGGGTGGTTGAGCATAAAACAAGCTCCCCAGGGAAGTGGTCACAGCACCAAGCCTGACAGAGTTCAAGAAGCATTTGGACAATGCTCTCAGGCTCATGGTGTGATTCTTGAGGCTGTCCTGTGCAGGGCCAGGAGTTGGACTTCAGTGGTCTCTTTGGGTCCCTTTCAGTTCTGGAGATTCTACCTTTTTATTAAAGGCACAGTTAAATACAGACTTTGTAGACCATGTTTGCAGAAAAGCTGTACAGGAAGAAATTTTAAAAAAATTATCATCAGAGAACAAAAAGTGTGAAGAACAAATGAAGGTGGGAAAAAAAGCACTTAGGAAGCTTAAAAGAATTTATTTCTTTTAAGGTTATATACTCTACTTCTTGTATATATTTCTATGACAGAGCTCTGTAAAAAAGGCAAAAATCACCCCTATGATTCAAGATTCTTCATTTGGGAAAATATTTTTTATTTTTTATCTTTTCAGAGTGTTACATGTTGTGAATTCTGGTTCATCCCTTGGTACATACATACCTGACACCTTCTCAACACTAAACTTAATAGCGTTTCACTGCTGACTTTAGTGTGGCCACTGGGTTTTTGAAGCTTTTTAGAAAACCCACATTTCCTCAAGTAGGGAGCTGCAACCAATAATTATGCTGACAAACCAGAAAATGTTTTATCAGCTTTGCACCAGTCTTCATGACACTATAATTTTTGCATTGTTGAACAAGTATGGGTGGTAACTCCACTGCACAAAAGCTAAAACAATGCATAGTCTCATGCATCTTTAGTTTCTGTAATCAGAAAAACAAATGAGGATATGGTTAACTTAAGATCAGCTGCTTGATTTCTGCTGGTTTTTACTCGATATTGCTAATATTAGGGCACACATTTTCATTAAAAAAAAAAGAATAATTATCTGAGATACAATAATGAATAAATTAGTGAAGTTCTCTAGAAATTGCCTGAAGACTTGACTGATTTCATGGATAATGACAGAACCTCTCTATGAATTTCTTAAATTTTTGTGTTTTCTTATGTAAGACAACCTTTAAAGGAGAAACATCATTGTACATTACAGTCTAAAAGGAGTTTTTTCAAAGAATGAAGTTTGCAGATATTTCCTCTGTAGAGAATTATCCTCTCATAAATACTTACTCTTTGTGTGGCTGTCTGTCTGTCAGAAGACTGATAAATGCGTCACAGACCACTAGGAGATGCTTAAGTGAGGAGATCTTGAGGAGACTTGAGTCCCCCCCTTCTCTGAAGTCTCACCATCATCCCCTTCATATAAGGCAATGAGGAAGAGGGTAAAACGAAAGCTAAAAATCAGCCTAAGGTCAAGAGTTAAAAAGCGAAACACAAAACAAATACAACAGAAAGGTACATATACTGTGTAAACCTACTGATGCCAGGGCTTTGATTTTGGTAGGACATTTATCTTTACAAGTGGAGGTATCAGATTATATTTTTTGTGAATGAATGTAAATGCTAAAGGTTTAAACCCCTATGTAGTTAGGCACAGAAGTGCTTTGGGTTGCACTTGAGGGATGATGAGGAAGGATCTTCACATTGTGGGGCTGGATGCAGGATGGGAAGAGGCAGAAAATTTTCGCCCTTGTGGTTTTGAAGTAGGTTCAGCTTGACAGTGCAATTGCTAACTAAAATGGCAGTGCTCTGGGCTGTTGCCATAATTTGGCTTATGCACTTATCAAAAAAAAAAAAAAAAGAAAAGAAAATCTGTAAATGTAAATATTACTCTCATGAGTAATTTTCCCCTTTCCTGATGTTTTTGGACATGGCAGTTTGTTAATACCCATATTGTACATGGCTGAATCTTATTGTTAATTTATCTGTTGTTGGAGGAACTTTTAAAGTTTAGATATAATGAAGTTTAGCAATTTTAATTTTATGCCAGCAACATAGTCAATACTGTCATAAGCAAGTCTGATGACACACTGAAATAATTCTTTGTTTTTCCTGATACTTTTAGTAAAGGATTATTCTACATCCTCACTGCTTTGATGATGATCTGGTCTTTGTGACCTTCTAATTCCCTTCCAAATTTCTACTTTTTTTCGTGGTGAATTTGTAGCCATTTATTCTTGTGCCATCATGGTCCCTTAGTACAAATAGTTCTTCTCCCTCACAGGTGTTTACTCCTGATGTATTTCTAGATAACAATCCCTCCCATCACAACCTTCTTGGTTACTCTGCAAAAGAGGATCAAATTCTTGTATGCATCATAGGCTTTTTTAAAGCTGGACTTATTTCATTTCAAACAGTACAAAAGGACACAAACAAACAAAATCCCCCAAATTGTTGATTTGCGGAGAACAGGAGGAGGAGATGTCAACTCTGGGAAATAACTGAGGAGGATTTTCCAAGTTTGGAACAGGAGCTTGTCTAAGCATTCTTACTATTCTCCCTGTGGGCCATGATACCATTGCTAGGTTATTATTTAAACACTGTGTCTGACAGTTGACCATTGTAGAGCTGGTGGGTGGGTTTCCTTCCTGTTTGATACTGATATTCCAAATTTAGAGACAAACAGCTGCACTGGAGCACTGGGCACAGAGTGAGGATGCACTTGTGGATTAATAAAAATGATGTTGCTGATTGCCGTCATGCAGTCATGTCTGCAGCAATTTAACAGGTGAAAAGGGCAGAGAAGAGCCTTAGAGAGGGTCCAGAGAACAGTATGCACAGTCCTTGGCTATATAACATGTATCACTGGGTCTGTTGGACACAGAAGAGTTAGGATTCCTTTGCCCTATTTGTAAAGAAATAATCATTATCTGGTGCTAGAAAATTTGATTTGTCAGGATGACAATTTAATAGTTTGGTGAGTAACGTTTACCCATGAAGTAATACAGCAAATCAAGATTTGAGTTGGGAGAGGGAGGGAAGCAGTTTACTTTGGCGATTTTGGTGTGCTGCAATTGCTTTATTCAGTTTTGGTATCTCCTAAATTTGGATTTTGCAATAAATTTTGAAAGAAATAAAATTGAAAATTGAAAAAAAAATTGAAAAAATAAAATTAAGAAAATGAAAAAATAAAATTGTTCCATTTGCATACTCATACATTAACTGGCAAGGAATCAGATTAAGCTAACATAGTTGCATCACAAACTGATATAAAAAACAAACAAACAAACCAAACCAAAGCAAAAAACCAAACCCCCCCCAAGTCCTTTATACAAATTGTCACAGTTGATTCTCACAAGTGCAGAAATACAAGTGAGTTTTTCCTTTGCTTAAACATAGTGCTCTTAGCTGTTCCAGTTGTACCAGTGGTTCTGTATATTACCACAAAAGAGTATCATTATAGACAGAGTAAATTGCTATCATTAAATTTTCATCTGCATATGAAAGTGTGCAAAGAGAGGTAGAGATATTAGGGGATATATTGTAAATAGCAATATTCTAATTTTTTGTCTTTTTTAGCTTCAGGAATGGAGCTGTCTGTCTGAAGAGGACTCTTCCCAAATATTTGTAGTGTCCAAGCTCGTTCTCCCAAGGACTCTGGTGTTACAACCTCATCTTTCTCGGAATGGCTGAGAAGGCTCCACCAGGGATCACCAAAAAGTCTTCAAGGTCTACACTTTCTCTCCCTCCAGAACCAGTGGAGATCATTAGGAGCAAAGCCTGCTCACGGAGAGTTAAAATAAATGTTGGTGGGCTCAACCATGAAGTGCTGTGGAGGACTTTGGACAGACTTCCAAGGACACGATTAGGAAAGCTCAGAGACTGCAATACCCATGAATCTCTGCTAGAAGTATGTGATGACTATAATCTAAATGAAAACGAATATTTTTTTGATCGGCATCCAGGGGCTTTCACTTCCATTTTGAATTTCTACAGGACAGGGAAACTACATATGATGGAAGAAATGTGTGCTCTTTCTTTTGGCCAGGAACTTGATTACTGGGGGATTGATGAGATATATTTAGAATCTTGCTGCCAGGCAAGATACCATCAAAAGAAAGAGCAGATGAATGAGGAACTGAGGAGAGAGGCAGAGACAATGCGAGAGAGAGAAGGGGAAGAGTTTGATAATACCTGCTGCCCAGAGAAGAGGAAGAAGCTTTGGGACTTGCTGGAGAAACCCAACTCATCTGTGGCAGCAAAGGTAGGATGAACATTAGGCTTAACACAAAGACAGTAGAAAATAGTTTTGTGACCAGTGCATCTGACTTTGAGGAATTGACAACTTTCACTAAAATACTCAGAGAAAAGAAGAATCTAAAAATATACATATCATGAAGTGAATACATGCAAATCTGTCCTAAAACCCACTGAAATCAGCAGAAGAAACCCTGCTGAGTTCAGTTGTTTTTAGACAACTACTGTATTGTGCTTTTGCTGTAATGCTATGAGAAACATCTATGTGATTCTTAATTACTTCATATTAAATGAAAATACAACCAGAGAGACCACTATTTACTTGTTTGTTAGAAAAACATTTGGTTATGAGAAATACACATTTCAGTATTGCTTGTCCCGTTACAGGCTCTGCATAGGTGTGGTGTCAGTGTTTCGTAAGTTGTGCTGGGCAGATGATCGAAGTGTCAACATCTGCTCTGGCAAGGTTTTACACTGGGCAAGGATTGCAGTACGTTTTCTCTTATGCTACATTTCTTCAATCAAGAATTAGTGTGTTCTGTATAAAAATATAAAGCACATATATACACACATTTATATAAATTTATGTGTATGCCTGTATATATTTGTATGCTGTGTATGTATATAAACAAGTATATCCTCTATACATATATGTGCACACTTATACACACACACACACACACATACATATGTGTAAAATATGTATATATTCAGACAGAAGTGACAACACATTCAAATGAAGCCGTGTCCTAGTACTGCTGCCTTCAAACAGGCAAGCTGGCTAAAGTCTCTCTGATACAGTTGAAAAGTTAACCCGTGTTGTGAATGTGGGACTGCGCACACAGATGTCAGTACTGCTATTTAAAAGGAAAATTTTCTTGCATTTTGAGGAACTTAATTGTTCTATTTGTGATGTGAGGCACTACTTAATTGAGGTAAATTGTGGAAGCTTGTCCCCAGTTTGAATGACTCAAAACGAAAATGTTTGATGTTTAGATGTTCATGTTAAGCTTAACTGTGGTTTTATTGTCTTCTGTTGTTGATTTGTTTCTGGTTGCAATGCTCTTGGACTAAGGTAAGTATTAAAATATGATGACCCAATGGACAAAAACCAGAATTTTGGCAAAGATTTTTCTTGCAATAGCAACTTCTTACTATCGAAGCACAAAACACAATTTGTTTTTAATTTTAATTTTTTATTGTGGACTACCTAACAGTTTAAGCAAGGACTTAGTTTTGTAAAGAAAAAAATATTTAGTTTGCCGTAATAAGATTCGTAATGAATAAAAGCTTATAGAAGAAAAATGAAAGTATTCAGAATATTTTAGAAAACTACATGAATATATTTTCTGCTTCCGAGATACATGTTCTGGGCCATATGTTCCTCTCCCAGGGAAGGAGCAGAGGGGAAGCAGATGGGCATAAGTTGTGCCAGAAAGGGTTCAGGGAAGCCGTGTTACACACTGTGATCCCCTGGTACAAGCTAACATCCATCAGCCTCCCCAGCACTTCTGTGACACAGCTGCTGCACTGCCTGCAGGACTCAGGGACCAGCTTTGCAGTCCTGCTTGGCTTGAAACGTCACCAATGTGTTCCGTAACAGACCTGTCCTCCTGGGTGCAGGCAGGAGGATCTCCTTTCTGAGCCATGCAGCTGAAACATGCTGTGTGAGACCTGGGAGATCTCCTGCTCATGGATGCTGCCTCTGGGACACCCAGCAGGCACATTTGTTTGTGAAACATTTTCATATATATATATATATATGAAGGTAGTTGCCTCTAGGGCTTGAGACATATGCTTAATTAGTGCTTTCTTAATTCTAGGTAGGAGTCAACACAGTAAAATGAACCAGATAAATAAAAAAAACCAAATATACTGATTTTTCAGTTCTTTGCCTGTGACTCGTTTTCATTCTTTTGCATGAAATATATGATGGTTAAAGTCAGAAATGTAGAATAATTAAACTTGAGTGCTTGCTTTTGACCAAACTCTTACAACTTAACAGTGCCCCATCATGAATTTCCTTAAAAGGAGTTAGGTCAACTTTGACTTTAAAGAAAACTCCCCTTTGGGCGAGTTTTCAGACCAGATTTCTTCTCAGGTTTTGCAGATGAAAATGGCCCTTTCTTTAATTTCCCAGGATGCCTAAATAATTATTTTTTTACCATTTTATTTCCCTTTTCCCCCATCTCCTAGTTTGATTGAATGTTATGGATATATCCTTTCTTCCTACAGGGAGTTTCACATTGCACTCGTATATATGTTGTAATGGTTTTTGTTATTTCAATTGTCTTCTGCCTAAGTCAATGCCATTTGATTTTCTATGGTTCTGGTAGCTAGAAGTCACCATAATACGTGCACTTAGTTTCTCTTTCTAGTGACCTTCAGTCTGTAAATATGCATATGAGCCAAAATTATAGTCAGATACACCTATGGCATCTCGGACAGCTGTAGAAACTTGACTGAATGACATAAAGGAGAAAAAACTCTATCATAATACATTCAAACTTTGGTAACATAAAACAAAATATGCTTTAATCAGTTGGATGTACTTTGAAACAGTCTGGAGCCATCACAGACTGTGTTAGTTTCTGTGGCAAGGTTGTATTTGGAGTGTTTGCATAACATCACTTTCAGATTTCTCGTCTTTTGTTTAGTCAAATAAGTTACAAGTTAGTCCTGAAATAAGAGGCACAACCATCTTCTTTCCTCTGTAGGAGTGGAAAGGATGGTGGCATTTTGACAGTGGGAAGTTTGGAACCATGTGAGGAAATATTCAAATACTCAAATTCCAATACTAGCTCCCTTTCAAACTTCTGTAGAAAAAAATGAAACCTTATCAATGTCCATAGCTATCCTACTGATGTCTGTTCAGTCATTCATATCCTGTGTAGTATCCAAGCAGTTGACAGGAACAGCTTGCTTTTTAATCCCTTTCACATCAAAGATTAGGAATGTGAGATAAACACTCGGATGTGGTTTTGATATGTGACTGTGTCTTGCCACTTCTTGATTCTGCTAAGATCCCTTCTAGGTCTGATCCAAAGCTTACTGAATTAAGAGGGAGTCCCGCTTTGGATTAGGCATCTCAGGACAAATCCTGTGCCTTTCGAGGTCAGCAAAGGTTTGCCATTGACTGCTCTTACAGCAAGGTGAAACAGAACAAGGTGACAGTGAATGAGCAGCAGATGTTTTACAGGACTTCTAACAGTAAATGGAACCAAGCAAAAAGGATGTGTGACAAGAAATGAAAACTATGGTTAGCTGGTAAAAATGGAATATTATAGGTCAAGTACTGTTGCACAATATGGGCATACTTTACTATGTGAGTTTTTCTTAATTTTAATAAATGCAGACAGGCACCTCATCTCAGTCACTAATTATCTTATTAGAAGCACAGCAGTTCTTGCTCAGTCCTCCAGTGAAGCTCTCTGTGGATTCAGTAGGTGTTTTAGCTGAGGAGTTTAGGATTCACCTCCATTTTCTGATGTTCTCATTCATAAGCTTTTTAAGTAGGATTAAGATAAAAATGTCCAGAAGTCCAGCCACTTCAGAATATACAGTGTTATGAAATAAGGAGGAGTGCTGGGATTTAGAAAGAACGAGAATTTTGCATATACTACATCCCAGAGAATCCCAAGGTCTGGTCCCCAAACTACAGGGTTTTGCATGAGTCTGGCATTCTTTGGCCCAGAGGAACATCTGAGTTTTTAGGCCAGGCATTTATTTATACTTATTATGTAAACAGCAGTTTGTAAAAATTCTATTAAAAAAAAAAAAAGAGAAAGAAAAAATAAGTTACATTCATATTTCGGTCTTCTGTTTGACATTGCTGGACCTATAACAACCTCAATAGTGCAGCAGCAGCTTTGACCAACCTGTCAATAATTTCAAAAATTACTAGTAGCATAGGGTTTGCTTTTTTTAAAGTTATATGAAACCTGATTTGGTTGAAAGTGTTCTCTGTTAATTCTGTTTGTTTCACTGCATTGCTGATTTGTCCTTACTTCCTTTTGTTAATTTCTTTTTTCTTGGGGTTAGTTTTCTGGTTTATTACAAACTGTAACATGAGTATTCCTCCTTTGTAAAAAGCACACTAATTTATCAGCTAACTTGTGGATTGTGGATTATAGAAGGTATAATTATCCCAAGCCTGACTGGAAATTGCGAGGAGTTGGTGTGCAGTATTCAGTAACTAATCCCTTATGCGAAAAAATTCCTTTGGGAGAGTGGGGAAAAGAAGATGCATGGAAGAGGAGATTCAGGCCACTGATATTTATTTAGCTGCAAGTGCATTAGGGGTAGGCTTGCCCCAATGACTTGCCAAGAGAGGGCACACCTATTTTACATTAAAGGCCTGATTCTTATTTTGCATTAGTCTGTCTTATATATAATTCACAGTGATGCCCATACATATTCTTTACAGAGCAGCTTAAGAGGGGTCTTGGGGTAAGGGCAAAGTAGCAGAGTCATGCATGACTTTGTAACAGAGTATGATATAGGACATTTCAGTATTCTTTTGCCAGTCCTCATAAATGATCTCCTAAATTGTCACACGGTGTTGATTCGGGGGAGAACCCTAATTAATGATATGCTACTGGTACTTTTTGTGTTGAAGGTAACATCACATATACTCATAGGACTTTAGGAAAACTTTTGGCTGATTCATATCTTGTGAAGAACAGCTATCACACATAAGCAAAGTGTCAACAGCTAGATGTTTGCACCAAGATACTAAAGTGTTCGAGTGAAAGAAATACTTTTTTTGTATTTCCATGCTTTGTTATGTTATACAAATAAAATACTTGTCTTGCTTATGCCCTCTTCTCAGTTTAGGTTCTGTTAGACATTCTGTGTCATCCTGATTTTGTCAATATTTCTCCCTTCAAAAGCTTATGTTCTATGTTGTGTCCCATCTAACTTAGACCAAGGATGAAGATTACAGAGTTAAGACTTTCTCTTTTCTAAATTGTGAGGAATGGCTTTTGTATTAGTTTGAGTTCCACA